TGATTATAAAGACGATCCAACATATTTATGATTATTTATGATGAAATTCCTAAATTATAACACGTTTTATGTTACATGTCTGATAGCTAGGCAGTGCATATCTTGTCATAATTATTACAGTATTACTGTAGTTAGGCCTAAATTGTAAAGGTCATACAAACTCAAACAAAAAAAAAATTGTAAAGTGCTTGTATATTTAATTAAATATTTTCTATTTCAAGCTATTTCGCCAGATCATAAACATGATATTTAACATGTTTAATTAAATTTCTAAAATATCACCTGTTTTATGCTGAGTCTAATAGGCAGGCAATGCATTGTAACTGTAGTTTGTCAATCAATATTATGACTAAATACCCAAATCTTGTATTAAAATTACATATTATTTTTCAATTTTAATTACATTTTTTATTATTATTTTTAAAATTTTTTATCTATAGGAACAATGGGGCCTGAAGAAAGGCCAGCAGAGGTCCTTCTACATCAAGGGACTCTGTACTGTCTGCATACAGATCTTACAGTAAAACCACACTTCGATCAAATTAGCATATCCAATGGGATGGCATGGAGTCTGGATCATAAAACACTGTACTATATCGACACACTTTTGGAATACGTTGATGCGTTGGACTATGATAAAGAAACTGGTGAAATTAGTAAGTTGGCATAGATATCACTGGTAGTGGTGTTTCGATCAACAGATAATGTTGTTGGTCAGTTATGGAAGAGCAGCGACTGAATACTGGTAGTATTATTTTAAAGGCAGTGTTTATTTAGCCGGTACTTCTTTCACAAAGCATTTTTGTAATGATTAGTGAGGGCGCACTCAAACCCCAACCTTGAGGATAGACAAATTTAAGTTTCAGCTGGCAAAATAAACACTTTGTATTTTAAATTATGAAACTTTGATCAGTATATTATATTATAATTGTGTTTGTGAACCCTGACCATAACCACACTTATTTATCTTTGTATTTGATAGGGCCAAAAAAAAATAGTTTGTTTGCTCTTCTTTTTTTTTAAATGATAAATAGAGGCAGGTGGAAAAAGTTTTTTTATTTATTTAGTTTTTTAAAATACTCATCAGATAGAATAAAAATAACCCACAGAGCGTAGAATGCCAATATCTTACATCAGACAACAACTTTAGACTAATTTGTAGGGCATCTGGCAAAAAATAAAGATAAACTCACTCACATTTTTTAAAATTTGTGACGAAAAAAAACTAAAGAAAAACCTTTTTTTTAAGTTCTTTGTTTTTCCACCCCTTTTTTTTTCATTGAGTTAGGGGCTGGTGGAGGAGGATAAACAAACAATTTTTTTTTTGGCCTAGTAAATCAGTCAATCAATAAAACACATTTAAAAATAATGTATGTAATTTAACCAATTTGTTTTTGTTGTATTTATCAGAAAATCGACGTCATATAATTCATGCACCTGTTGAAGAAGGGTTACTGGATGGGATGTGCATTGACGCAGAGGGAATGTTGTGGATTGCTATGTTCCAAAAGTCTCGGGTTAATCGGTATAACCCGAACACAGGTAAATAAAAAGCAATAGAACATGATGAGATTACTTGTGTTCTCATAAAAAGCGAGCCCATCTCTGCGTAAATCAAAACGTTAAGACGCATTCACGATGTGTTTTTGTCAGCAAAGGTTTGAGGACGTGGTCCAAATGCAGAGGATGAAGTAAATTACCTTTTCGGGTACGTGTCTATTAAAATTTGTTTACCTCAACCTTGTGTGGCAGAGGTGGGTGTGGACCCCTTGTCAGGAACCTTGAACTCGTCGTGGAAAACCTCTGGCGCCACCAATCAACTGTACACTTGGTCATGACCTGGCCTAAGCACAAGGGCTGACCGAGTCGAAAGGCTGGGTGGTTAAGGCGAGGGTGTTCAAGGCGAGGGTGTTCGTAGTGGGTAGTAGGTTTGAGTGGGGCTCACCTACTTATGGTTCTGTTGGTTGAACTCGGATGAAGACAGCATCTTTCAACATAAAAAAGGGGATTACCCTGTGTAGTGGTTCAAATCGTCCCTTGTTGTACAGACTAGAGCAACTGGCACCAGTTTATCGGGTAGCTCAGACACAAAGTCACAATAGGAGAAGAGGAAGTTATGGTATGAGCTAATACACGCATCAAGCACTTTAATATTATTATTATTATTATTACCACAAGGCCAATATTAACATTTCCTTCACAATGCATCAACACTTTTAAATAATAATAATAATGTTATATTTATATAGTGCATATTGCACATTGCCCCTAAATAATAACAATAAAATAAAATAAAAATAATCATAATAACAATAATAACAATGAGACTAAACTACTCCTATTCCTTAAACTAATTAACGGTTGGCCGTTGGCTTCGAGGAGCTCATCCGCCATTTGTTCAGCTATTGGTTTTTCTTGCTGCTGGGTGACCATAAACACCTTCCCCTCAGCAGCCACAGAGACATAATATTTGAGAGGGTTGTCAGTTTAGTCGCCAACGCTTCGACTGGATCGAGTTTAATGTCGTACCCAGGACGTCCCTAACTACCTTAAGCTAGGCTTAAGTACTCTTAAATACATTATATTACTTAACACAGTTAGTTAAACTATCCCCCACCGGACACCATCCCGGTACTTAGCAGTTTCGGTGCCATTTTAGAATTCAGTAAATAAACTACAATACAAACATTGGTAAAGAAAATAAAAGGAGGTCAGCGAGAAAAGGAATGGTGAGGAGAGTGAACAAAAAAAAATAGTCAACTGACTTTTGTTAGTATTGTGGTGCACTCTTTATTTGTGACGAAACTTCCTCTTCCAACTAGGTGAAAAACTACAGACTATCATGTTTCCCGCAACTAACATAACATCGTGCTGCTTCGGCGGGCCCAACTATGATGTGCTTTACGTCACCGCCTCCGCCGAGGGACTCACTGATGGTGAGCTGAAGGAACAGCCCCTTGCTGGATCCGTTTTTAAAGTCACCGGCCTTGGAGTTCGAGGTTTACCAGCTAATGTGTTCGGCTGACGTGTATTTGAATGTAGCAATCCTTTTAATTTCATTTACACACATGAAGATTGCTTTTAAACTCAGGAAATTATTCTTTACAATTTCACAATAAAATATTTCAAAAAATATTAATAACTAAATTTTAATTGTTGGTATATATTCTCAATCATTTCTATTGATTACAGCTATACCTTGATAGGTATTCTGTTTCACCAAACTTTTATCATTAGGAGACTTGGGCCAAGTTTCACTTATTATCCGAAAGCAGAGTTAGTTATTTTTGGTTGCAGAAAAAATTCCAGACTTTCAGATAAATAATCAGAGACCAGCCCGGGTGTGTAAAAATTTGTTTCATTTTACGTCAAATGGACAATTAATAAAATGACAAATGATGGTTATGATTAGGAAAGAATTGTGGAGTGCTTTATTATTAATAAGTGGGGAAAAGGCAAAATTAGACAACACATTAAAAATGTAATAACATGCTGACAGTTCTGCCTATGTTAGCTAGACCAACTGTGAATGTACAGCAAACAAGGCTAACATTCATTTTATTCTCCATCTACTAAATGGATACAAGATTCTAAACAAAATACTGGATGTTTGCATGATAACCATAAAAATTGGGAGATAATTTTAAAACTGTTTATCAGAAAATGTTTGAAATGCTGATGGCTGTAATATAGCCAGGGGTCCCATACGTTGGAAGAAATCCCTTCCTGGAGATCTGGGTAAACTTTCTTAAGTAGTAAAAACATGCAAATTTAATTATTTTTTGGGAGACTTTAGACCTCCTGTATAGCACTATTTTGCTGTTGAATGAAGCCTCTATAAATAAGATTTGATGAGTTTTAATAGCTGAGAATGAAATAAATCAAGAAAGAAATGGAATCATTTTCATAATGTTTAGATTTATTGTTAAATGTCCATTATATGCACATGGAAATGAGTTGCAAATGAATTACATCTATGAACAGGCATTAAAACATTACAATGAACAATTTAATTGGTCAGTACAGAAATGAAAATGTTAAAAACAGTATATATATAAATTATGAATAAATATGATAAAAAAAAAAAAAAAAAAAAATCAATACTGTACATTGTTTTCTTATTCGGTGGTTTGTGTAACCTTTCTCATTTAAAAAAATCAGTCCAGAATTTAATGTAAGTATTTCATTCCCAAAGACACAATAACAATGGGATAAAGTAAGTGATTATTAATTAATCATTTTAGAAACATTTCAGATATGGTATTTTGAAAATACATTATACCATCATGTTTCGTGGTGAAACATATGGTACTGTAATAATAAAATAATAAATATGGATTAAATGGATTTACAGAGCGCATAATATAAAAAGCCTCCGTAGGCCAGACCTATAAAATCATCATCTAGAATACTGCAAGTGGCATTGTGGTTTAAAAAATAAAAGTAAAACAAAATTTTGGTGATTATAATAGCAATAATTACAGTAATCACGATGTTAAATCATAACATCATATAAAATTGGTAAATAAACTAATATAATGCAAGCTTTTTGTGTTTTTAGTGCATTTTGATGGTAAATTATTAGGTTTTAAAATGCCTATTCCAGAAAGCCTATTCTAAACCTTTAAGATTATGATGCCATTCAGAGGGCGCCACCTGGTGTTGCGATGACACGACTGTGGTACTCTATAATAAACCAATGTATTACACCATGAAGCTATCAACACACATCATGGTCGGTGGGGGAACCATAATTTCATTATTCTCTCTTAGTTAAGATTAACATGTACTTATGACATTCAAGTTTTGTGGGTTACACTAAAAAAAAACGCCAACCGTATTCCGTTTATTTCACTGGGTAATCGCGCTGAGCATTCAGCTGGTGGTCGACCGTTTGAGCAAGTTTCAGCTCACGGTAAATACGTGTAACGAAACTACTCCGGAAGTAAATTTCAACTTATCCCATGGTCAACAACCCATTCTTTGTTTACTTGCTACTGCTGCTATAACCGGCCCATGTACACACACCGCGGCACGGTGGAACGATAATGTAGCTCAATATTTAACTTATAATGGCTGCTTTAAAATCTGTATGTATGCTAGTTTATTTCTCAGAATAATGGTAAATCTACAAATCGATTGCGTAGCTATGCTACTAAATTTAGATTTCATCATGCATGTGTGAGGAGGCGAAGGAGAGCTGCAACCACGCCTGGGCGGTAACCTATTGATTTTCGCGCTGGGCTGTGGACAAAACATTTTGAAAAACAATTAAGGTTGATTTATCGTCATTCCATACACGGTATTCTACCCAGAAATTTGGTGGTCAAAATTTTCGCGGATAATCCAGATGGACTAGTGTCCGAGCAGTTTTAGAAAGTGTGTACCAGTGAATTAACTGGTAAATTGCACGGATATTTTTTCGCTCGAACGGGCCCTATGTGATGCCATTTGCTGTAAACATCATGCAAGTGAAATAAAACTGAGATTGCCAAGGGGTCTAAAAAGTCTGACTGGGCTTTTGAGCCAATGGCCGCTTTACATCCTCTGGTCAGGTTTCCATAGTCATACTGCTGGTTGGGGTCGAGGGATATCCAATTTTATAATTGTGGATGGTTACAAAATTATGCTTTTAAACCACAATTTTACAATTATAATAATAAAAAATTATCTTGCAATTTTCAGGCCAAGCTGGATGTAACATTGCCAGTCTACTTGAGAAAGCGAATGGATCATTCATGAAACGTAGTATGCGAGTAAAATGTATTTATCACTTATATTAGATAACAAAAAAACAAAACAAAAATTGAGATAATTATACACATTTGAATCCTGGGGAATACCATTCCAAAACAAGCATCCTTGGCCAAAAAAAAAAAAAAAAAAAATAAGAAAGCTGACTTTAATGCATTCATATTTTCCACAAATTATTCATTTACTTACTGGAATCTACTGCTAAAATTATGAATAAAAGTTACGGATTCTCTGTACTAAAGTATACAATACTGCCGCATTCTTTTGTTAATTACTCTTACTTTATAGCGACAGTATTTTGGGATGTCATGTGCCTCAAATTATAACCTGAAACCACAAAAACTTTTGATGGATCAGAAACTTAATATTTTCAGTCTGAAGACCGGGTCCATGCCCTGCTTGTATCACAACTGGATGGCAAAATAAATTGAGTTTCCAAACTAATAACTTTTGCTCAGAAAACTTCCCCCACTCCCTGACTTCAGTTCTACGGTCTATTACTTTATTTTACTATGCTTAGTTACGGTGCTTTACAAAGATTCTAAATCCCCTCTCCACTTCTTCCCCAGTATAAAAAAAATCTTGTAATTTGAAACAATTACAATATGATTCATTTCCCAAGCCATCTATACAACAAGAAATGCAATTAGGGGAATGATGTTTAATTATACTATTAATTCTTCACTCTTTTTAATCAGCAGAAAATGTACAATAAAACAGTTTATATACAGACTAAGTCCATAAATAATAAAATATGTTACGGCTATGATTGTACTGAATAAATGAGCAGACTGCCTATAAAATATCTGTATATCGTCATCTTACATTTTATGATAAACATTGCTAGCCCAGCCTCTTTCCAAGTTAACACAATTCACTACGACCCCCCCCCCCCTCAGATTGGGAGGGGATTATCTACCTTACAGCCCATTCCTTTAGCACAGTGCCATCAAACAGTAGGTTTTTGGTTGGATAGGAAACTGTAGGGGAGTTGAAGGCTGATGAGATGGTGCCTGCAACACTAGAGTCTAGTGGTAGGTCTGGAATCACAGGTAAATCCTATAAATAAATGGAAATAATCACATTTACATAATAATAGATAATTACACATCACATAATTATGACAATGACAATATGCAATTGGAATAACTAAGTCTGTGCAACAGGACATAGGGCTTATCATTGATATTATAATAAAGTAAAAATAGAAATTGAGTATCAAAATTATATGGTAAACAACTTAACTATAATGAAACATGAACTAGGGCTTCAGTGAGTGAAGTGGAGAGTTCTAAATATTGTGCTATATCTATTGCAGCAGTTATCATTCACTGCTCGGTTAGTTTTACCACTTTTCGCAGTGAAAAATCCAAGTGCAGACAGCGGTCTCAGTAAAATCTTCCCTTTTTAACTTTAGTGCAATTGAACCATTAAAATGATGTTTCTATTAAATCAAATGGGTTTACTATTAGTATGACAATTTAAAGAATATTTTGCTGCTAGACAACTGACATTATTAATAATTTAAACCCAAGTTGTTGAAATTATTACCTGTTTCTCTGCGATAAAATTTAATAGCTGTATGGACAAGCGACGACTTGATTGAAGTAATTCTGATAAACTATATAAGAAATAAAGGGATTAATAACGGCATAGAGGTATTACCTCCATGGCAATAGCGACATTTAATAGAATTAATTTTATTTATGTAATAAAACAATGGTCTATTATTAAATTAAACTGATAATATGATAATCATTAGATATATAGACACATTCTTTAAATCACTGAAAGATGAAAAATGTGTCTTTTGATTAATTTACACACAGTGTTTCAGCACCATAGCTCAGTTTTCTGTTGGTTGTATTGGATATCTGAATATTTTGGATAGTTAATGTTATTTCATCGTATATATTTGAATGCACTAATTTGTTGTGTGGTGTGGTAATAGATGCATACACTCCATAGTGTTATTAAACAAGTAGAACTCTGACTAGGCGACAAAGCAATGTGTTGTGTATGTGTACCATCCAAGATGGCCGCTGTAGGAAAGTGCCACTTTCAGGCTTAGTATACATATTACAACAATAAACAAGCCCTTTGACTATTATTTCATTAACCATTATTATTAATAATATTAATAAATTATTGAACTATCATAGCCAGAAAGAGGCCAAGAGGAATACCATAATCTGATTTAAAAATAGAGTACTGAGGAATGAAAATTGAAATTGTGTATGTTACACCCATACACCGTAATGCTCGAGTTTCAACATACTGTACGGGTAACTTAGCTGTACTAAACTAAGTGTAAACTGAGGGCGCCATTGAAAACATGATGCTTAGGCGCATTGTGATTTACTAAATCTACAGCAGCCATCTTGGATGTTAGACACACACAGATCTGCGTAATTTAAACACTGAATATACATTCAGTCAGCACTCTAGTATTGTTATTATAACTCTGATACAATCTCAATCCTAGCCATACCTATCTTTGTGGCAAAGCTTGTTGTCGGCCATCTTGCGACAGACTTCCTGATTAACGGCATCATCAAACAAAGGAACACCAAAAAACAGATCGAGTAAAACCCACTCGGATTCCTCAGTTTCGTTGTCACAGCAACCACCTTCAACGTCCAACGACAGCTTCTCCCGCGATGCCAGGGACGTGTTTGAACTTGACTGGTCCAGATCTTTGGCCGCGTCTGTCAATTCCTGCATGACACGTACATCGCTGCTACTGCTGTTTGTTGAGCTGCGGGACGAAGTTTTATTGGGCATCTTACGGCGTTGTTTCAACATCACTTTTCCGGTATTTAGAAGCGTTATGTAACCACAGGAGTGCTTCAGATCAAGTAGGTTTGATGCCTTGCTGATTGCACTGTGAACGTGCATACACTCCTTCCCAAATTCACCTACAAATAAAAAAATTAGCAAATTGTTAGTTTAGTTTACATTAAAAAAAGAAAAAAACAATGTAGTTTGTACAGCCACATTAAAACTTAAGTACCAGAAGTCTTTAACAATCTATTTAAAAAAAACCCTTAAATTACACAAATTAAATACCTCACTTAAAGGATCAAATAATTTATTAGATTATAATGCTTTCATTCTGTTTTTAATTATTATTTTTTTTATATATATGGAAAAATTTATACATGTGGAACTTTACAAACACAATGAATATGATTTATCATCGACAATATGTGCTTTCAAATGTTAAAGAATCAAGTTCAAATTTCAAGGATACAATTTCAGTGTGATTTTTTTGGAATATGTATCTTGTCTGCTTTTTGTGTATCGTTTTTATGTAGGCCTATGTATTTTATGACTGATTACGAATAAATTCAAACAATCAATCAATCAATCAAACCTACATACCATCAGCATAATAATGACAGTGAGTATAATAAAAGTATACAAGAATATTCTGCATAATCACTTTAACAGAATTTCACAACATAAGCTACAATAAGGCAACATATGAAAATAAAGTGTTTATAATACCGTAATATAGAAAATACATACCTTGCTTTGAGTCGGCTGGCAGGGGGAAAGGTATACAAGTGGTCTCCCCATCTGTCAACCAGCCTTGAGCCTAGAATTTGTAAAATGAAATTGATGAAAATTCTGGCAACTAAACTAAGTGTAAACTGAGGGCGCCATTGAAAACATGATGCTTAGGTGCATTTTGATTTACTAAATCTACAGCAGCCATCTTGGATGGTAGACACACACAGATCTGCGTAATTTAAACACTGAATATACATTCAGTCAGCACTCTAGTATTGTTATTATAACTCTATGATACAATCTCAATCCTAGCCATACCCATCTTTATACCAACAGAATATGTTTAATAAATAACATTAAATACAATTAAAATATACAATTCAGATTATGCAGTTGAACTTGCATAAGTGGGATCGAAAGTGGGAAAATGGCATTGAAAAATTGATTGACATGATAAATTTTGACTTACAGATCGTTAAATAATGGAAAACCAAACAATTTAGCACATAAAACATAGAAATTATTTGAGTTCGGTAAAGTCAAGAAGGCAAGTTTAACTCTATTTCAGTTCTTACAAAAAGCATACATAAATAATATAAAATACGATAATGAAATTACAAAATGAGTCATGTATTATCAAGTATTGGATTCTACCATTATCACATACAACCCACCTGGATAAGTACAGCGGAATGAGAAAGGGCGTCATTGATTGTTAGTAGAGCGTTGGAGGTTGCTACCACTCCAGGGTCATGACCCCATGTGGTGATCAGTAACCGGTCATACTCCTAGATAAAATTAAATGAATAATTACGTAACAGGATGGGAAGACGGGGTGGACAGTGGTTTTGTGCTCATCAGAGCATGAAGACAACATTAGCAAATGCTTGAAAGATCAAGAAATTGAAGGAAAATAGCTGGTAGTCATTTAGATGTTTTTTCACATTGGAAATTCCAAGTTTTGCAACCAATTATTGGATTGACTTTGCCAGGTTGAAGTTAAATTTAAACTTAACTGCTGAAGAAACGTTTCCCTGAACAAAAATATTATTATGGTAATCTATAGAAACGGTGTCTATCTCTAAATGGACAAAAGGATAGCAATGTTATCAGGCAAATTGTTCACTAATGATAAATAACAAGATGGAGAATGCTTTTGCAAGGTAAAAGTAAAAGGAAGAAGGATTGCATATACTTGAAATGGATCTTTAAATATTGAAGTTAGGTTATTAAGCTTTGTAAATTTGTCAGGACTTTTGCCGCAAATGAAATGAAGGTGAATTGAACGTGTATAATAATAAATAATACAGTATAATCTATGCATTGAGGGATATTCAGCAAATTTTTATCACTGGAGTAGTGTTTTCCATGTTATGTCTTCTCGGAAGGCTTTGTGCTCTACTTGTGTTGGGGCTAGACCTAGCCCGAAGGTAGACAAGAATCCGGAATGCCCTTTGGGCCGGTCAGGGGTTGCAGTGCGAGGTGTGTCTGCATTGGCCTGATGTCAAGTGTCAGGATCAGACAACCTAACCCCAGATGCCTTCTGTATCCATTTCTAGGACCGTGCCCCCACAGGGTCCATCCCAGTCTCGGGTCCTCGTATCTCAGTCCCCTCGGATTGTAACCTGATGGCCTAATCTCACGAGCCTCCCTTGTGGGGTTTGCCGCTGCCGACATTCATATCCTGGTTCGGTTCACCATCTAAGCAATCGGACTAAGGCCCTGTATGCAAAGCTGCACCCTGGGCATTTTCTGCAGCTTTTCCGGTCCCGGAGGCACAGTTTTAATTGTTTATGTAGTAACTAAACCTTTCACCAAAAAACTCCCAATTATTTTCAGGAAGACTTAAGACTTCTACAGGAGTGTAGCTACAGGTAACATTATTACAACCTACCTGGAACATTTGAGGTAAACACCTTAATCTTGAGCCCTTGACAAGAAGTAGAGTTAAAGGTCCACTACCAATGTTACAATACAGGAACAGCTTGAACCACACAGAATTTACCTATAAATGAGATCAAGATATTAGTCTCAGTATAAGAGTTTGTATAGTCATTGAACCAAACATGTTTTTCAGTGTAAATAAAATGTCCATATCACTCTAATGGAATGATAACTATACCAATTTCAATTTTAATCAAAACTGAAAACACAGTGTTAATTTTAAAATGTCTAGCATAATAATCTTGTGACAGGTGTAAGAGGACTGTAAATGAAACAAGCCAAACCAGACATTCCTTGCAAAATGTGTTTCTAAGACCATGTCCAAAACAGGTTGGAATGTCAAAATTCTCAAAATCTATTATATTGCACTAAAATAACCTTTATATAGCTATAAAGTACATCATGCTATGCTATTATTTCCCCCATTTGCGATGTTAAAACAATGTTTTTTTTAACGATTTGTTGATGGTCTCTGCCTAAGAAATGACTGAAATCGTAAACTTTGAAAGCTGATTTATCAAATACTGTTTTTTAAACAGCTGTATATCTAAAATCTTGCAACTTCATAGCAATATGTGAGATTTAAATTATTCCTTTGCTATTTTATAACATGGGAGTTGCCAAAACTAATGATGGGCTACAGCCCGGTTATTCTACCTTTTTAAGCTGGTGGCCAGTTTCAATTTTTTTTAGATCAGCAGCGGGCCGACATAATTGTGAACTTCCAAATTTGTTCAATGAGAGCCCCACCCATTCCCTTTTATAGGCCTATAATGTAAAGGCCTATAAATGTATATAAGAAGTCTGGCAACTTTCAGTCGATAATAATTACATTGACCTCTAAACCAAATTATGGGTTGCAACCAAAAGTTGGGTCGTGAAATGGTTCCCATTTTTTAACCCTTTTTAATGTTCTGGCAAGCTGCTTGGATGTTTGTTTGGAAGTTTGTCCAAAAGTTTGGGAACTGCTTCTCTAAACTTCAAGCCACACTGTATTGTTTCTTACCTCTGGTATTGCAGGTCCTATATGTTGCGGAGTGCAACTGCTTACCGGACGGATCTCATTGCTGAGTGGTGCCATGGATACCAGTAATCTAACCAATAAGAATAGAGACTAGAAATTGCAAATTGCAAGTGAAGTGCTGCGAAGTACAACTGCATATAAATGTTCTTCGAACAAAATTATTTATGCGAGTCAAGTGAAAATAATGAATAATAAAACTATAACAAATAATATGAGACACGACCCATTGTCTATATTAGAACACTTCTCATTGAGTAACAAAGTCGTAATTTTTCAATTTTTCATTCATGCTGTAGGAAGTGTACATTTTTTTATGGGGCAAGTTTCCAAGGGCGGGTTTTCTAGGGGCGAGTTGACTGCCAAAGAGTGTTGCCAAAGTGCGAGCCAGCGTGTTATTTGATCACAAGTGCGAGACATATCACAAGTGTGAGCCAGCGAGCCATGACGTCACGACAATAGATAGAGACGTTAACCAGTTGTGCGAGGTATCGGCTGAGATTTGTCGAGTACAATTCAAAAAACAACTATAGGTCTAATAATGAATTATTGTGATGTTAAATAGACAATATTAGCTATCAAAGAGCGACGTTGTTTTTCATTGGGACCTTCGTCCCTTCAAGGCTAGGCCTATACCATCCTAGCTAGTCTAGGCCTAGAGTAGGATAAGGCTAGCGCGACATGCTGACGTTGGTACGAGTAGGTTAGTCTACAAACGTCGCCTAAAGTAATTGATTTTACCCGGCAGAACGAAAGAAGGAAACTCAGCTTTTCAGTCGTTTTAGCCACTCGTTTTTTGACAAACAATGACCTTTCAGAGGTCAAATTGCTGTGTAGAATATGAATTGGCTGCTTCGCAGCAATCATAGATCAATCATCTTCATTTTTATAATAATTTTTGTTTTCATCAATCATTATCACAGATCCTTGCCATGGTAAATTATCAGTGGCAGATCCAGTAACTCAAAATAGAGAGGCCCAAGGAGGGACTTCCATAAATGGAGGGTCTACACGCCACCAACAATTTATGATTATGGGGACCACCTCTAGATGTTCTGAAATTACACTCTCAGCAGGGTGGCTGCCCCCACCCCTTGAATCCCTCACTGATTATCATACCATTACCATCACCAACACTACCACAAACCCATCATCATCAAAACTGCACAACTTACTCATAATTCTTCTGCAGTACTCTTGAGCAAGTAGCCGGCTCTAGGCCCAGCAAACTCTCACACCTTAGCAGATCGATGCCTAGTCCTGTTGGGTACATCCTGTCTCTTATACACATCTAGATGTGTATAAGAGACAGCCGCAACATATAGGACCTGCAATACCAGAGGTAAGAAACAATACAGTGTGGCTTGAAGTTTAGAGAAGCAGTTCCCAAACTTTTGGACAAACTTCCAAACAAACATCCAAGCAGCTTGCCAGAACATTAAAAAGGGTTAAGTTTATTGTGTTTCTTTGGCCGATATTGGCTCTTGGTGGCTCTTGCAGCAAATAAAATGAATTGAGAACTTGATTGAACTGAAATTGAACATAATGGTACAGTACTGCTGTTTTGTCTACAATGATCATCAACTTCATATTTCAATCATCATTCAAATAATCTGAGTAAAGCTATATTTTAGTAGTAAATCTCTATGAGACATTTAAATAAGAAAAAGGGTAAGAAAAATATATAGGGTATCTATCGAGAACCAGACCGGTAGGTCAATAACACCCGCAGTTTTTGTCAGCTTCCACCTCCGAGTTACTATATAAAAAGAAAAAAGTGGTACCTCTACAATTCTGTTGATAGTTAATTATGGTATTAAACAACATAATATATTTGATGTCCACTCACCTGATTCATCTACACTGGCTGTATCTGATGCAGTGGTAGAGTTCTCAGCAGAGGGAGGCTTGTCATTAATCCCAGCAGTCCAGTCTATCAACAGAAGATCATCATGTACTGTGGGCCTGAATTATATTTAAAAAAACACACACATATGAAACATTTAATGAAGACACTGAATGAAAAGTGCAAGTAAGCAAATTAAATACAAATTATATTGTTTAGTCACTATATTACAGTACCTCAACACAGGCAGTTCTTTAAAAAAAAAACAGAAACTATAAAATATAAAGAAGAGACAGTACCAAAAAGCTCTCAATTCAAAAATTAAACTGGAAATCCTTATCATTACTTTGACCACCGCATATTATTTCTAAAGGGTAAAACTTACTTCTTGTTAGCCATGGCATTCAAAGGTTCGTTCCATGATGGGTGTAGGCTATCAGGGTCCGTTTCTTTCCCTTTCTTTTTGGCAAACCCAAGACGGCAGTACATGGACACAGCATTCTTCACCAGCCTTAGATCAATCTCCAACACGTTGGCAAGCTGTTCATACAATTAAAATAAATGTTACTATGGTTGGCGTAAGATATGCGTAAATAACCATCATTCAGCAACGCAAAAAAACAGTTCTATCAGCTTTTATTGTAATAATCTACAACATTCTTAGGAAGCTTGTAATGTTTTCCCCACAGCAAATCACTTAGGGATAGGTATAATTTTTGCAATCAAATAGTTTGTGTTGTAACTGCTTGCCTACAATTGGGACAAAAGAAAATGTTGTGTCATCAGAGAGCTGTATGTAGGTTTTCTGTGGATGTTACCACCTTTACCTAATGTATTTGGAGCACAATATTGTGTCTGATCATATTTTGAATAAAGCTGACAGAACTATACTGAAATGAACAATAGTAATCTTTAAACATTGCCCAATAGTTATACAGGGACAGGTGTAGAAAGCATGTGTAGTGCAGCAGTTGTTGTCATAACCAGTGAAGGTAAAATGTAAATTTAGAGAGAAATATGTAACATACACGTTTCTTTATTCTGGAAGTACCGCAAGGTTTGGATTCTGGAAGTACCGCAAGGTTTGCTCAGAGAGATTAAAGCATGAATTAGGGATTAAAGGTAGGAAAACATAGTTTGTATTATGAACAATGAGTCAAGAAAAATTTATTGACAGCTACGTCATATTGGGCCCAGAATTGAGCAGTATGGCTGATAACGGAAAGATGATTGACTTACCTCATCTGTAGCTACCAGTCGAAGAGGAGCACATTATTAACAAGGATTTAGCAAAGCGACCATATTTCAGGATATTAATTTATCAAAAATTAGGAAAAAATGCTCATATCGTATATCTAATTTGAGTAAATGCACCAAGAGTAATGGAAACATGGGATGTCATTCTAGGAAAAAAAATGGTAGTAATACTAATTAGTACCCCAATTAAAAAAAATCTCATGGGTGTATTGAAAGGAAAAAAGGGTGTAGAGCTTGTATGAGAGATCTTGACAAGACTGAACCAAGTATGTCAGTGTCAGATGATAAAGACAGGGTGATTCAAGCCAAGGACAAACCAGCTAGAATATTTTTCAGTCTGCACAAGAACTGCACCAGTTCAGAAAATTGCATATGCCAAGAAGAACTATCTGCAATCAGGACACCCAAATATAACACCAGAAAGTAACAATCTTTGCGTATTGGTAACTGAAATTGACAAGAAATGGTCCAACACAAACAATTCTCCATAAAAATGGCCCTGACACTGCATTATTGTGTTTTCAACAGATATAACACCTCAAAAGTATTATGATGATGTAATACAGCTGATGGATGAATGCTTTAAAATGTCTCCGCCAGGAACTTTATGGCATCCATGAACCTATAGATAAGTTTCCAAGCTACTTCTTTATGCCTTTCTGCAAAGAAAATCACAAGGAGCTGCCCCAGGTCATCATAAACAACTTTGACCTACTAGGAGAGTAAATTCTCACTTTGAGTTCGTTGCTATTGCAGCTGTCAAATCTGTTCTAGAAGACGAAGCCGAAATAAAAGGTCGTTTCAACCACCTGACACAGCGCAACGTGCTGAGTGGTTACTGAGAGGTACTGTTACTGCTTCCTGTGCTGAATAGGCACTTTGAGATGGGCATAATATAGCAATTATATATTACAAGTCATTCTTTTTTCAAATTTAGGATTCGAGTAGCAATACTACTTACCTCAGCTACTGTTGTATGCTCATCAATCGACACAAATATCTTGTAAAGGAGAGTTTCAAAATAGTCCCCTTGGACGCGGTTCATTACAAAACCTTCCAGTGGTGGTACTACAAAAAACCAACAAATATTAATGTTATAAAAATTAGGGTATAGCTAATAACTGTTTTTAAAGCATACTATGTGTAATTATTAATTACTAGGTGTAATTTTTGCCCTACCTGATGTGGAAATGTACCGAATACTCTGTACATTTGAAAACAACTGCAAAAAAAAAACGCAAGTTGTTCTCGGGTGGGACTCGAACACACGATCTCCAGATCACTAGCCTGGCATCATACCTCTAGACCACCGAGCTTGCGCCTGATGGCCAGGGTTGAATTCGAGTCCAAGTAAGCAGCGGGTACTGCAGTGTTGATAGTAATTGTTATGGTCGTGATGGAATAAAAGACAATAAATGGATTTGCGTTAGGAGAAACATGTATAGGTGTAATTTTTTTTTTTTTTTGCCCTACCTGAAATTACACCTATACATGTTTCTCCTGACGCAAATCCAGTTATTGTCTATTATTCCATCACGACAATAACAATTACTATCTACATTTAAAATGTCTACAGATCTGTCAAGATTATCAAATTATCTTTGACAAAAACTGCTGTATGCCCATATGAGGCCTGCCATCCCGAAACCAGTGTGCTGTAGCTAAATGTTAAATTTAGTATTAGCTTAAGAATGTGGCGTGGCAGTATTGTATGCTTCATTACAGAGAAGCTGTTAAACTTTTACTCATAATAATGTGGAGAATGTAAATAATATTAAAATTTTAATTTTCTTGTTTTAGTTTTGACCGATTCTGGTTTTAGCAAGGCGAACCCCATATAGCCATGATGTGCCTATTATGGTAATGATGTGCCTATTATGGTAATGATGTAATGTCATCATATTTAAGCATGTCACATTTTGCAAATAAAATTGGATAGTGGGGATAGGGCTTTAGGAAAATGCCATGTGGAAGTGTGTGACACTCTGCAGTAGGGCTTTTGGCTTTCAAGTTGTGAGTTGAATTTAGATGCAAACTGCTTGAAAACTTACCAACTATGCAATCGTCATCTTCAATCGGAACATCCATGTATATCAAACCTCTCCTATATAATTCTGGAAATGTAAACAAATCAAGTGATTAAACTAAGTATATTGATAACAATAGCATTTATTTATTTGTGTTCTCTGTCCTTCAGAAGTGAGGAAACTTACTTTGTACTAAATAATAATCAAGTTCTCCAGTCTTCATTGGTCCAACATCAATCACTTTGTCAATAATGTCTTTTTCTCCAATGGAAACTGACTATGAAATAGAAAAAGATCAAAACGATCACATCAGTAGGATGTTGTAAGGAACAGTGGCATGTTCAGGAATATTGACACTGAGGGAGCGGACTGACGGGAGGATTGTGGACGAAGCTTCTGTGTGGAGATGCTATTGCTTCACAAAATAAGGTGATATCAGGTGCTTTTCAAATACTTGAGAGTAATTATTTGTTTTTTCTGTATGTTTTCAAGTCTGTTATAAAGGATATGCAACCCATGGCCCTGTAGCAGGGGCGGATTTGGGGGGGGGCAGCCCGGCCCCGGCACCTCTTTTGAGAGGTAAAAAAAAAAATGTTGTCTTGATCGGCACAAATTTCGCCCCCTCGTTCCCTCCTTTTGGACATCTCTGGATCCGCCCCTGCTGTAGTACATACACCAGCGGTAACCAATGTGTCCCGAATCCCAAATCATTCTTACCTTGATGTCCTCTTCTGTAATGTACCCAACCTGTGATATCCACCAGTGTTCAATTGGAAAAGAGTCAATTGGTGAAACTGGTAACAAGTCTTTAATGGGCTTCTTGCGGAAGAATTTCTGAGAAAAGAAACTTAAGAGTACTTGAATATGAAGTACAAATGTGAAAGGAGGTCCACTGGCTCAAGCACAGAGCACTAAAATGGCACTAGGAAGGTTACGGAGTCAATTCCTGATGCAGCCCATGTTTTTATTCACTCTAGGCAAATGTATGTATTGTTGGATATATGCAAGTTAATGTATGTTTGTACGGTGGACAGAAACATCAGGAATGAGCATGTGCAAGCATCAGTGCGACCTGGAGGTTGACGAAGGTGAAGCAAACCTAATGAAATTTACTCATTGTCTACTTTTGTTCCTTGCACCAACACTGAACTACTGGATACACCATTTTCCTAGCAGCGAACACACTTGTTATTATATTAATTTTTATTAGAACACACTTGTACAATATTAATCTTTATTAGAGTTTAGAGAAGTTTCAATTTTGAAATTGCGTTGAGCAGTAGATGAAGAACTCTTAAAGTCAGAGGTTTGGAATCAAGGTTCAACAATCTGCCTGAGTCTCTGGTTTTTCTCCTTTCTCTTCACCTAGGTATATAAATCAATATATTCATAGAATTAAACGTTCTGTCCTCATTATCAAATTTTCTCGGACAATAAAATGGTGCATGATGTGCCTACTTTATGGTCCTGATGATATATTTGTCACAATTTCATAGTCTGCATGACGGCTTAAGAAAAATGTATGTATTTGGTCTACAAGAGGGGGAGCATATTCATACTAGCAGCAAAGGTAGCTGCATGTTGTGTGTTAATGAATACACTAATGTGAAGCAGGTTACTGTATTTAGGAAATTCTCAGAAATTTCAAACATAATTATTGAGTTTGTATCAACACAACTTCTATAAATACTAATAGTGAACTTGATTTTAATATTTATCAAGTGTGATTAAACTGAAATAAAAATATAAAATGAAACAGGAAATTGATTTGAACCTATCATCACAATGACAAAATGGACTCTGAGCGAGAGCGTGTGCCTGATGCCCGACATAGTTTTTTTTTGGCTACTTTTAACTCATCCACACTTTCTGTGTTGGCAGTTCACACGAATAACTGTAAAAGTAAAAGATTGTTGACTTTTTAGTTCTTTCCATGACAGGTCTTATCAAGCACTATTCTTTTTATCTTACCATATGACCCATCCCATTATTCCTCCAACCAAATTTTCTCATTACAACTTTAAAGTGAGACAATTGAATAGCTAATTGTCTACAGCCCCTCTGGAGATGTAGACACAAAAAACTATGCAGAGAAAAAAGTGTTACCAAACATTAACTATATCATACCTTAGAATAATTTCATTAGGTTTCCAAATAGTGAAGAAGGTAAATCCATATATTGACACCAATAATGTATACGTACTTGCAACGTTTCAATCTACTACCAGTAGAACTTCATCAGGCACTCCAGGTGCTGGGCTAGATGTTTGCCCTCTATCCGCTCTCCCATGGGACATCGGATAGATGGCGTTACATAAGACCTAGTAACGCCACACAAAACAACTAGCCCCAGCAACCGTCATTGTCTGATGAAGTTCTACTACCTTCTTATGTCATAGTGTACCTGGCTATGTGAACCATATGTGAATTGTGTAAATTTACCATTAAAGATTGAAATGGCTACTGTAGACATACATATAAGTTCAATATTTAATATTATGAGGTGTAAAACTAAAATACATGGTATGGTATTATGGGAAAGCAGTGACTTCTACTGCCATACAGTATTAGATGGTTTGGACTACCTCCCGACTCAAAGTGGAGGGAGGTAGTGCCAATTAAAATTATCCACTACTTCACCTTAAAATATGGTTTACTTGTATATTACCATACTGTTTTAATGTTAAGATAAACCAAAACAAACTATTTGTAATATAATATGCACAATGCACGGCAAGCAAAGACAGAAATGGAAGAATGATTGACATGCATGTTGAGAAAAAGTGTTAATTTAATCTGTTAAGCTCTGCCCTGGTTATCAAATTCCCGTATTATAATAATGCACCTATATGTGGCAAAGACCAGAGAAACCAGTCACTCCCCTGCAAAAAAAAAATGATTTTTATTTATTAAATACAGGATTAAACAGTTAATAATGTAAGTTATAAATCGGTGAAATAATCATTTAAATCTGACATTTCGTTATGAAGTTATAGGAGTTTAAACATACATCTGTTTAAGAAACAGTACTTTGATAAATCAGCCTTCAGAATTTATAATTTCAGGGATTTCTCATGCAGAGACCATCACCAAATTGTTGTTTTAACATTGAAGATGGGGGAAATAACAACATACATGATTGATGTATAGATATATAATAAAGGTTAGTTTAGTGCAATAAAATAGATTTTAAAAATGCTGACATTCCAACATGTTTTGTCTACTATCTCTTGAAACACCATTTGTGAAGACTGGGTTGGCTTGCCTTTGCCACACATGGTCATGTTGTCAAATCAATTTAGTCTGAACAGGGCCTTAAGTTAGGCACTAAGTTTGAATAAATTGTGTGCCATCAGCAATGTAGCTTCCTCTGTATTCATACATACTGTATTACAGGGGTCGATCCAGAGTCCATAGGGGGAGGGGAGGGGTGTGGAAATGAGGTCGATCGACATAACAATACCCTAGGGGGTCTGAGGCATACCTCCACGAAATTTCTAGGTTGCAGACGCCCGAAAAATAACTTCTGAGGACTTTTGGGCAATCAATTTTTTCTTTTTTTCTTTTGTTTTTGGACTTTTAAAAAGGGGGGATGTGGTGGTGCACGGGACACCCATCCCCTCTAAATCGCCCCTGTATTATCTGTTTAATGTTAAGTAGCCCACAAATTATCAGTTGAAAGTCCAGAATATTGATAAATAAATGTCTACTTTAGTACTTGTTTCATTTACTTAATCAAGAGACCATACTGTATAATGTATGTTGACCAAAAACTAAACACTACGGCTACAGAAAAAAATTACTGTAGAAAGAAAGAAAGCGAGTGTCGAGACTAGAGTGAGAAAAAAGCTAGGACTAAAGCTACAGTATAGATGCAAATGTGTTAACTTACTTGAATACTACCAGGGCGATTGAGTGTGGGCTAGTAGAAGTTTAAAATAAACAAAACAAATTGCAATGAATAAATTAAGAAAACACTAATAAGTGGTTAGTGAAATGAAAATAATGGAGAAATAAAAATGAGACAATGAAATGGTTTGCAAAATGAATGAAAATAAAAGCGAAGTTACTTCATCTAACTTTTTGGTGACATGAGAGAGTATTATTAATGGTACTGTCGTTCACAAGCAGTTAGTAGAGACTATGTTTCCTTATACAGCTGGTAACCAGCTAAATTTGGATTTTTATGTCTGAAGCTAATCAAATGATTGATAAGGCCTATGTGAAAACTAGTTGATTACGCGCAGATGGATCGACTGTAGTTGAATGTACTACATTATGGCTTCCAGTTGATGTTCATTACTACAATTATGATACAATAGAATTGTATATTCATTTAGTCCTGCATAAACCTTCATTCACAAACTAACCCCAAATTACTTAAAAATACAATAATGTATAGGCCTATGTATGTGTATGTCCCTTTAACAGGGTATATTGATAAGTTAAAAATTAATTATTACGTCCATTCTCAGAGAAATGCATATAAACCAATCAGAGGTCTAAATATTATATCATCTCTTAATGACCCAATCAAATATGCGACCTTTCACAAACTTTGAAAGTAGCAATTTGATTTATTCATTCGATTTATAGTTTTCACGGTGCAGTGTACGATATTGAATAAAGATTTGATCCAGTACGAAACCTCACGTTACTATGTTCAGTGTAGCTCTGCACTTTGTGCTGCAACACGTCTCCTCCCACACATGCACATGTTTGCATATGTTTTAACATCGTTGTTTTTGCGCAACCTTCACTACAACATCCGAAGGTTGGGGCTTAGCAGAAAGATTCACTAAAATGTTCCGAGGGAGATGTGTCAAGAATGTGGATATTAGAGTTTGGTATAGGCCTTTAAATTGAAGAAAATGATGATGGCAATTTTCCACCCATTCACACATCAGCACAATTTACCAAAGACTGCTACCACACTTCACCAACAACAGAAGAGCAGAAAAATGTGAAAAACGGGGAAGAAAAGCAAAATTTAATTGACTATTTATCAAATATTTTTTTAAAAACATGTAACCAGCTAAATTTGGACAGCCGATGTCTGAAGCTAATCAAATTATTACGCACATGTTGATGATCAACAGATGAAGCAACGGGCAGTTACATATACTACATTTTGGCTGCCAGATGCTGTTGTATGAGTAAATGTTCATCACAACAGTTACGATAGAATAACTGTATATTAATTCAGTCGTGCTGCTGCAGTTTAATCAAACTGGTATCAAGAAGATAAGACGTTCATCGAGGATCTAAATTTGGCCAGGAAATTTGGCTAGCAGTTGCTTGAATAAGGTAAGACGCCTTACAGTAAATGAACACTTCCTTGTATGTGTTTTAATAATGTACAATATAATGTACCATTCTAGCAGAAAACAATTCTAACAAAGATGATAAAAAAAAAACCAAAAATAATATTAATATTATGTAATGCTGGTAATCATTTTTAGTATAGATTTCTAATACATACATATTTCTCTCATTAAGATAATACCCCATTTTTACTCTCGTTCCTAGCTCTGGGAAGCATGGTGTAAGCTACAAAGCATGCATTTTCCTCGAAAGTATGGAAAAAAATATGTCTAGTGGGGCTAAAGCAATGGCAGATACCATTATTCTATACATCTTTTGCTGAGTACTTTTTGGAATACATGGTAGTTGCTTACAGCAGGACCCTCACAAACCATCATTGGTCAAAATTTTTAAGAGATGAATCTGATTGGTTAATTTATTGAAACTGTCTGCTTCTTTAAGTCTTACCCGAGATGATCTGCATTGATTCATGATATCAATGTACTGGTTCCTTCCAATTCCAAGAAGACGCAAACCTGATAATGAAAAATTCTATTATCAAACAACTAAACATTTTTTTTAAAGTATTTCAGACAATGATAGGCTACAAACTGCATAACTTGTGCATAGTTGCACAAATACAGTAGTACTCCTAATGAATTATTTAACACTTTTGAAACATACAAAATTACATGATTACCATACAAAACTCAAAACAAATTCATACAAAACAGTTATTTTTTCAAATAAATACTACACAAATTGCAACTCTATAATATGCAATGGAGGTAACTGTCCTAGATTTTGTGTAGTACTATAATTTACAAAATGTTATTTTACGATGCAACGTAAATAAAAAGAATTACAGTACAGTAGACACTCAGTCAAATGACTGGTATTGGTAAACTTACAGTCAGCAGCAGTAAAATTGGGTAACGAATCATAGCTCCGCTCTCCCGACATGGTGTCATGCATCATCCGATGGTAGTAGGTGAAAGGGGTAATACGTAGCCCTTTCACCATTATGTCTGACAGGTGGTAAGGGTACAGCATCAGGTGTTCATTACTGTATTTTAAGAGCTCCTCATAATATTTCTTTTCATCTTTTCTCACCTGCTTCACTAGAAGAATTTAAGTTTATGAAGTGTTGGAAGTTTTTGATATTTAAAAGTTCATCCATAAACATCAAAATGGCAACAAACAACATCCATCCTCTATTAACCTGCTGACTGCAGCATAATACAGATTTTGCAGGTTGGTGATAATTGGTCTGTACACCAACACACAATTTTCTTAATTTTCTTTCTGATAAATATACAGAGATTATTAACAAGCAAATGAGCTTTGAGGCATGTACTGCAGGAACATAGGCTTACATATTTCTTCAGAAAAAAGGTACACAAAAACAATTGTATCAGGATGCAATAATCTTTATGGTTCAACACACACAGACTGGTCACTATCAGATTAGCCATGATACTAAATATCATCACCACAATCTATGAACATAAAAAACTTCCTAAAATCTTGATGACAACATTGATAATATTAAAAGGTATGAAGTTTGAAATGACAAAAACATGATGACAAATAGTAATATTTGGATACACAGTACAGGTTTTTATACAGTAGCCTATTGAGAGACCTACTATCCAGTTTTCTCTACTTAAATCATCTTACCTAAGTTACCACGATAACGAAGCTGGTTCTTGATACTAAAATTGACAACTTGCTTTTCATATTCTTTACTTGAATTCCCCAGAATCTGAAAATCAAAGACTTATTCATTGACATCACTATTATTGGCAATAAATTTATAGTATATTTCTCCTGCTGACAGTAACTTGGTTAACAACTGTTGTTAACCAAGTTATAAGCCTACTCTAAAATTATAATACTTGGCCTATAGTACCTTATTCTGCCGTTCAGTTTTAAAGGTCTAGGTGTTACCGTTTAAATTCACACTAGTAAGAGTACGGCTAAAGCAAATTCCATGGTGGGTAGACATCTGACATTGATCAAGAAATGTCTCTATCTTTTTCTAGAACTTAATTTGACTGATAATGGTCAAATACATACAGCTGTTTCACAAACTATGGGTCGATGGGATAATTCATGGGTCAAAAGAGGATCGCCGAAACATTTTTGAGGGTGGCGAGACTGAATCAGATTTGCTGGGCTTATGAATATAAATCAAGCCTGAAACAGACATTGAAATGTATGGTATGTACTGATAAATATAATGATAATTACATGGAAAAATAAATATGGAAATACTATATATTTTCTTTATTATCATTCATCACCATAGTATATTTTCGTTTATTTTTATGTAAATAAACATGGTCAGAAGAAGTGTGTACGAGTTGGCATGTGTATGAGTTAACTGACCAAAAGTGCGTAAATCAAGAAAAAAAAATTATTTGATTAAATTTAGCATAACTCCGTAAATATTCAACCAATTTTTGTCATCTAAACAGTACTGTAATTTAGGCCTACACACATCAATGTGTTCTTTCCATTTAAATGATGTTATTGTTAAACTAGGCCTAGGCTAGGCGTCTAGGCCTACTACTGTAGGCACTAGGCCTAGGCCTATCTATATTTGAAGTCAATTAAGAATATAATTTTCTGTGTGCTCCTTTCTAGAGGCCTACTAGGCCTAGTAGATGGTACAAAGTACTAGGCCCTAGTGGTCTTACCTAAAAAAGCTCCTATCTAGGCCTAGCCCCTAGATAGACTACCTACCTAGGCCTAGATAGGCAGGGAGTCTAGGCCTAAGCCTATGTCCTCTCTTAGGTAGGCCTAGCCTAGACCCGGCTTAGTCACCCCTAGCCTACCTAGCTACCTAGACTTAGGCCTACTAGACTAGGCCTAGGAGAGGCTAGGCTAGGCCATGATGATGGGGATGATGGCTTGCTTGTCGAGCGTTTAATGATAATTATGCCTACCTGCTTAACATTTGCTGGAAGCTTGGGATATTGATAACTATTTCTAATACAGTTTTCGACCTCTGTATTCATTTCCGCAGATTGAAGGAAAGTCAAAAACTAAGCAGCATATAAACTGGAAAATCTCAGCAGACCGATCATGTCAACTAGACTATTCCATCCAGCAGGCACTTTTTTTTTCTCCGAGGGGAGCACTTTTTCCTGAAGCTCAAATCCGGGATTCTAAATGACGTCACTACGCTTATGCACGATTTACGCCGATGTGTTTTATTTTATTATTTTGCTTTATTTATGCTTACTCGAGC